TATGCATTACGCCGACATATCTGAATTATTTAGTATTTACTAATTCCACATCATGAATTTTCATGATGGATTCGGGTTAGTTGCCATCATTGCTTTCATTCCAATTCCAGATTATAGTTTTTTTGTTGTTGTTTTTTTTTTTTTTTGGAAAGGTTTATCTTAAGTCCTATTTCTTTGAACACTTAGTAGAGGATATTGATTTTCTGGTCAAGATAAATCTTAATCCAACAATGCATAACGATGTCCTCATTATAGCTTTTCTCATCATCCATACATTGTGCCTCGGTTGGGAAACAAGATCTTTGTCTTCTAATGGTTGATTCGTTTCGGATGTTGTATGGAATACTTAAATGGTCAGCGCCTATTTCGTCACATGTTGGCTCGGAGTTTAATACTTCCACATTTTCCGTCAATATTTTTCCATCTGAAACAAATTAAAAAAAAAAAATAAACGCAAGGATCCTGTAAGTTGCTACTTCGCAATGTGAAAGAAACGCTTTTTCAGACACTGTTACAGATTAATGTTCAGATCTTAAGCATTAGATAGCGCCGTGAACTTTCCAGCACCCTCTCTCTCATCGAAATATATACTGAAACCAATCTCTGAGAAGGCTGGGATACAAATCGTCTAAGATAACTATAAATAGATTTCAAATGAAGGAAATCGATATTAGGAAAGGTATACGGTTGGTTGGTTGGTTTGGTGGTTTTTGTTTAGCGGTATATCAACACCTATATGGGTCATTTAAGGCCGAATTCTAAATATCTTGTAGGTAATTTTATGCTTCCAACTAGAGATATTTTGCACATTATTTTATATTTTCAGAATAAATTTTGTTTTTTATAGTTTGTAGATAATCTATCGTAGGTGTTAAATGTTTTGGTATATACAGTGTAACCCGGATATAAGAGAAACCCGGATATAAGAGAGATTTTCTCTGATACCAAATTAGAGCCATACTTACCTAAACAAAATAGACCAAACTCGGAAATGAGAGAAACCCGGATATAAGAGACTTCTTCTCCGGTCCTGACAACTCTCTTATATCCGGGTTACACTGTACCTAATTTTTAAAGGTAGGGCATTATGTGGAGGGTTTCAGTATTTTCAAATACTGAAACCCTCCACTTACTCTTATCTCCCTTGTAGTATTTATGTCTTATAGGGGTTAAGTAAGTACATTCAGTTAAAATGTGTTTCACCGTGAGTCCAGGTTGGTATTTTTTTGGCTTAGTATGGTTATTTTTGTTTGGTTTCAGATCAATTACTATGGTTTAATTAATGCTGAAATCTAAATATTTTGAACGCAATTTCATGCCTTCAACTACAGAAAGTTTGGACATAACTTTATACTTTCAATGCAAACGTATCTGTTATAAATATATAGATTGTAGATGAGAAAATGTATTGTTTGGTTTGGTTTGTTTTACGGCATATTAACCTCAATGGGTTATATAATGGCGACAAGATTTGTATTGCTAGTAATATTTAAAAAAAAATGTATTGCTGGTAATAATTTTTTAACAAAAGTCTTTCTGGTATTAAAACATATTTTTACACTTTCATAGTGTTTTGACTCCTGTTTGGGGGTTAACTATTTACCCATAGCTGGGACCCTAACACGTCTTACCACCCTGGGTCAGGTTGGACCAGGGAACACCAGCATTTAAGAGGTGGTTCTACGCTCCTCAAAACCTCATGATCAGAGGCCTTGCTGTCGGATGTAGTTTATCGTCTTACCCAGGATACGGATGTAGTTTATCGTCATACCCAGGACTGGTATTATTAGTAATTTTGAAAAAAAATGTATTGCTGATAATTTCACTACTAAAAGGTATTGTTGGTAATTTTTTTATAAAATGTATTGCTGTTTATTTTAGTTGTATTGATTGGCATATTAATAAAAAAAATGTATTGCTGTTAATTTTGGTTTAAAAATAAATTGCAGGAAATTTTTTGTAAAATTTCAATGGTGGTAAATTTACTATAAAATGTATTTTATACTTCCCTAGAGTTCTGATTTTTGTTGTGGGCTTCCATATTTGCCCAGAGCTGGGCCCCTAACAGGTTCTAAAATCATTATTCAAGGTAAACCTGGGACAACAGCAATTAAGAGGTGGTTCCACGTTCCCGAATGTAGATTATAGTAATACCCAGGACTAAAATATATCTCTATATATAAAATTGTAGCCTCTGTCTGTCTGTTATTGAACTCTTCCTAGGGTATTAGAGATCCCCACCATAACCATACATATTCTGAAACTACATTACCAAGGATACTTGAATAAGTATATTTCATTTTAATCAAAGGTCGTCCTGGTGGAGGTGCGTACAGACCCCACACTGGAAATCTTTCTTTCTTTGATTTAAATTAAATTTAAATTTGAACAAGGGAATATCACCTATCCGAACTATAGAAGGAGAAAGCAAGAAGATATAGGTCACATCTACATGATCAAAATGAGACAATATGGACGTCAAGTTGAGGAAAAAGTCACCAATCAGTGGATGTTGCCTTACAATAGATATTTCATATTTATGTTGTGACACTTTTTTGTCAAGAGTATTTTGTTCTTGTTATTTATATCTATCTGTGTATTTACGCACACAAACACACACACACACAATATATATATATATATATATATATATATATATATATATATATATATATATATATATATGGGGGTGTAAGATAAATAGATAGATAGCCATAACAAAAACAAACAAACGGCTGACGACAGTATTTTATCGAATATAACGATTTTACGTCGATGATAACTATACTTTTCTATATTACCTACCATTAATGTTATAGATTTTCGCTCCCAAAACGTCTTATTTATTTCTACGGTAAAGACAACAGATACGAGGAGCACAATAACATTGAGTCAGTTTTCTGCTAAAATCTCTAATTCTCGACAATGTCATTAACATTAGCCATACATTTTCGGTCCAGAAAGTAAAGGCTGCATATGTATTTCCATGAACTTAAGAAATACAGGGAGCACAATGACACCGTTGGATTGAGCAAGTGCCACTCGAAGTAGTGTTTCAGATGGGATACGTTAGAGCTGAGAGTAGCAGCTTAAGCGGAAATATAGGAAAGATAATGGCTAAACCTCGGCTTGAACATAGATTATAGTAGTCAGGAAAGCAGAGTCAGATACACAAAGTAGCGATTCACGGGATGAAGCTGTTCGAGTGGAACATGGTTCTCCCTAATGGAATACAAAGTAGATGGGCGTGACGCATCAGTGTACATGGCGCGGTGAGTCAGCTCCGCGGGTTAGATTTGGTTGAATGTAGCTCGTCTGAAGATTTTTCCATGGAAATAACGATAGAGTAGCGAGACGTTTGCAACGTTTTGTCTGTGGAGAAAGTGGTGGTAGGGTGGAAAATAATATTCATCATTCCCATGATTGCTTAGGCTCTTTTGGAAACTATCAACACTGGAAGGTGTCTGGCAGCATTACTCCATTTTAGACCTGATCTGTCTTTTATAAATGAAAACCCTAGCATAAAGAATCGGGAATTTATTAGGTTGTCCCAAAAGTTCGTAAACACTTGCAAAAAATTGAAATTTTACTCGCCAAGTAATAACAAAAACAACAAAAATTATTCCTCAAAATAAAGACCATCATTTTCCAAGACTTTCTGCCATCAATCTGCAAGCTTTCGGATCTGGTGAAAGTACCATTCAGCCGGCTTCAAATCAAAGAATTCTTGACACGCTTCCTCGACTTCATCAAACGAGTCGAATCGGCGGCCCCTCAGAAAGTGTTGCATTGAGCGGAAAAGGCCGTAATCTTATGGAGCACAGTCAGGACTGTAGGCTGGATGTGGCAGAATCTCAACGCCGTCCAGCTCTTCAAACTTGTCTTTGGTCTTCCTGGTGGTGTGTGGCTTGGCATTGTCCTGCTGCATCAAAGCGCGCTTTCGGTTGATCAGAGCCGGGTACTTTTGCTTCAACTTTTCGTAGACCCGTTCCAGTTGCTGACAGTAAAGTTCGGCACTGATGGCACAACCATTCGGAACCAACTCAAAATGCACGATTCCTTCAAAGTTCCACCAAACGTACAACATGACTTTCTTGCCGAATCGATCTTGTTTTGGAACCGATGGTGTCTCTTGCCCTTTCTGAACCCATCGCTTGTCTCGATTCTGCTGCATTGTATTGCATAAAAATTCAATTTTTCGCAAGTGTTTACGAACTTTTGGGACAACCTAATACTTGAGCGGTAGAAGGAACAGACCATTTTTCCAGCATCTTTAGCGATGGATCCACTTGAGGTCTGAGTTAGGTTGTTCAAACAGGCGATCAAGGCTAAGAGTCTCCATGATATAACACTTGTTTATTGTGATAGACGATGCTGTTCGGTAAAGAAGGGTTGTTACTAGATTTTTATAGAGGCATTGAATGTAACTGTTGAATTGCTAGAGCTAGGTCAGATATCGGGTGCCAGCATCTAATCATCTAGAATTTGGGAGTTGTACGTCAAGACCGTTGTTTCATCTGCGTGGATATTCACAAAACCCTGGCTAATACTCTTTGGCAGATCGTTAATGTAAAACAGAAAGAGAGTCGGACCGAGAAAGGAACCTCGGGGGATCCCTGCCTTCATATCATGGGTATCAGAGGACTGGCCACTAACAACTGCTGTAAATATTGTGGACCGGTCTTAGTGGAGGTTTTCAAGTATCCTTGGTAATGTCATTTCAGAAGAGGTATGCTTATGGGGGTCTATCTCCTGACATGTCACGCATATCACCAGAACCACCCGTGAAATACTTAACTGTGCTCACATCTATTCACATCTATTTTTTGGTCACAGTAAACTTTAAGCAAACGTCGGTGGCTGTTTTTTATCACAGTAACATTTTGCCAGACTACCGTTCAACTGTTATTTGTACCAATGTGGAGAAAATTATGGGTTATTGGCTGGAAGGTTACTCTTCTTCTGATATATAGCCAACATCGGCTTATGATGTCGAAGGCTTACGACCGTATCACGCTCAAACACCGTTCCCTGTACGATCACCGAAGTTAAGCAACCTCGAGCCTGGCCAGTACCTAGATGGGTGACCGTTTGGGAATACTAGGAAACCGTAAACTTAGATGATGTAATGGATAAGGTCGCGCAATTTTAAATCGGAGAGCAGAGTTCCGGTTCCAATCAGATTCGTTATATTCATTTCCGCGCAAATACTCTTGGGAATTCATCTCTTCCCCCACAGCTGTGGGTTAATTAGCAATATTAAAACATTATCTCTATCTATAAAAGGCAGGGTGTGTGTGTGTGTGTGTGTGTGTGTGTGTAACGAATGCATGTCCGAAATTTTCGATGGATTTGCACCAAAATTTACATGCACATGCTCCAAGTTAGCATAGGACAAGACCGACTTTGCATTTCCCAACTTCCATCGATAGTGGAAATAATCATGCTTCTACGGCAGTTTCCATGTAGTTTGCGGCCATTTTCTACTTGCCAGAGTGAGAGCCAATAGCTGGCTGCCACGAATAGGCAGGAAGATTCTATTGACCAGCGTGAAAGCCAACAGCTGACTGACACGAATGTTAACTAGCATGCAAAAAAATCGATAGCTGCATTCGTCACAAGTGGGAAAAATTTAAATTTGCATGGCACTTTACTCCAATTGGCTCATTCGCTTGCTTAAACTCAACGTTGATTCTGATTCCGCAGAACTGGGTTGGGTGTGAAAAAGTGTTTGTTGTTAACATTCTTTTTTCATTCGGTTTTTCCAGTTACGAGTCCTTTTCTTAAATTGATCGTTTTGTGTTCATTTTGTTTAGTTCTTTTTTCGTAACAGATTTAATGTTTAGTATAGAGCTTAGAAAAAATTCGCAGTGTGAGATAGGCAAGAAGTAAGTCATGTATCAACATCAGCACGGCAAAGGACACTCCTTTAAAGGCAAGGAAGGGCAAAAATATTTTAAGTCAAGTGATAGCGATTGCTGTATGAGTCGTACGATTTTTTGAATCAAGCACGGGCAATGCCGGGCCATGCTGCTAAAATTGTGTACAAAAAATATGATTTCGGCATTAAATAATCCACAGACGTTCATATGCCACTAAACAAAACCAAAACAACTATGATGACAGGACGCGACATTATAAAATTTTCCGTTTTCCATATTCAGTTCAGATGTTTACTGCTAGAACACACCATGCTATTTCCACAGTGTCGAATCACCTCCATTTCCCCCGTGTTCCACATGTAAGGAGAAACTCCGTTTATCTTTTTCCCTCAAATGTGCTATTTGTTAGAACGAACTTCCGAGTGGTTGCTTCCCTTAAATATACAGCCTTAGACTCTACAAGGCTGGCATGAGTCGCTATCCTAGTCATCATCATCATAATCATAATTTATTAACGCCTTTTGCGTCGCATCACACAGCCATTCATAATAACCATTTTAAAACTAATCTTCTACCTTAGGTGGCTCTCCAGCCTTTTATTGTGTGGACTTTATTATATATAAATATACATAGAATATATACATGTGTGCATACTTGTGTTTGAGTCTGAATCCAGAAACACGTATATATATATATATATATATATATATATATATATATATATATCCGTTTTATCTAAGTTCGACACATCCATGTATCCATTTATCCCACTTTGTTCATATCTATCTATCTATCTATCTATCTATCTATCTATCTATCTTGGTCTCTTTATATCTATCTATCTATCTATCTATCTATCTATCTTCTGTCTGTTTCATCTCTATATATCTATATATTTATCCCAGCCCTTTCATATTTATTTCAGTCTATTCGTATCTCTCTCTCTCTCTCTCTCTCTCTCTGTATATATATATATATATATATTCGTTTCAACTAAGTTTGTACACATCCATGTATCCATCTATCCAACCCTATATATGTTAATATATTACTTCCTTTCTTTTTTTCTATCACACTATCTTTCTATCTATCTATTTTTTCTGTCTCAGTATTTATATATCTATATATTTATCTCAGCCTTTTCATATTTAATTGAGTCTATTTGTATCTCTCTCTCTCTCTCTCTCTCTCTCTCTCTCTGTCTATATATATATATATATATATATATATATATATATATATATATATATATATATATGTATGTATGTATGTATTCGTTTTCATCTCAGTCCGTACATATACATATACATTTATCTATCTATCCCAATCTGTTTCTACCTATCTATCTACTGCGCATATAAAATAATATATATATATATATATATATATATATATGTGTGTGTGTGTGTGTGTGAATGGATGTGTGTGTGTGCGTGTCTGTATGTATGTGTGTGTCTGGCTTCTCAGGAAAACCGTGTAAATAGGCATCGTCTGTCACCCGTCCATTTTCCCATCGCCCATCACAGGTGCAGGAAGCCGTCTAATTTGACACATTTGCGCAAATGCAGACAGTGTCTATCAGTGTGCAAGCGCAGTCGTTACGCATTGTCTCATATTTATCTTGCACACTGCAAATTGACACGCACGCAGTGAATCCGCAGTTGCAAAATTATATAACTTATGATAAGACAGCCGTACAGGCGTATGCTTGTTTCTCGTCTCGGAGTCCCGAACACGCACACATTACTGACTCATACTCGCGTAGCTGTTATAGACACTTTAACGCACAGACTAACCTCTTTTCCTTCTCTTATTTTATTGATGTATGTTTTTTTTTTTGTTTTTGTTTTTTGAAACGGGCAATTTCATATACACGCAGACTACATTCTATTTTCGTAGGCTGACTCGCAACTATTCAAAAATGAAACATAATTTACAGAAACCATTGTAAATTTCTGCTGTAAATCGACCATATAATCCAATTTTAACTACGTACAAAAAACTGTACCTCGAAGTGGTGTAATGGTTAGCAAGCATGTCTCGCTAGAACAGTTATGACTGATTAGTGAGTTCGATCCTCACGGGCTGCCCCCACAGTTTCGGCCACACCTAAGATACGTTTAGAATTTTACCATAAAACTGGAGTTGTGAATAGTGTAACCGTTAGTGGCGCAGTAAGTGAATAAACGTGAATAGTTATAATTCCGGTTGCTGCTCTTTTGTTCACTTCGTACTGATGCCACCCGAAAAGGCATGAATCCACCTCCCTGCAGCAATGGTTTAAATAGGATTAAAGAATAGGTTTTCGTGTCTTTGGTGGCAACTAGTTATGGACTCAAACACAACCTGAAGAGGAATCAGCCTCGTTAGTCGAGCTCCATCTTACAGAAAATCACCCGGATTTAATGCTGCCATATATTCGAAATCCTCAATGATCGCATATCTATGTGCCGGTTTATCGTGATATGAAAAAATAATTCACCCACTGAGCTTACTTTTCTATTTAGCGTAGATCTGATATATACAGTGCTGTTCGATAAAAGTGACTCACCTGATTTATTTTTTACTAAAAGTTCTCTTCTCCGACGAAACGAAAGTTCAGCTAAATTCAAAGGATAAGCGATGTAAAATCCGAAGAAGAAGCTTTGAAAGCTCTTTGAATTTCGCAGTAAGTAGTGTCAAGCATCCGTTCAGTATAATGTTCTGGGGATGCTTTTCTTTTCATGGAACAGGTTTCTTAAAATCTATTGAAAAGACCCTCAGGAGTGAGCAGTACAAGAGAATGTTAGTCTTGTCTGCTCCCTTCTGCTGAAAGGGTGTAAATCGACCCCACCAAGCTCATTTTTATGCAGGTTAATGCTCCCTGTCACAAATCAAAATTGATGAAGGAATATTTGACGAGAAGCAGGTAAGTGTTATGACACGGGCACCCCAATCTCCTGACCTCAACCGCATAAAAAACTTATAGAGCATGTTGTTCAACTGCTTTCTCGAGAGCCTGTACTTTTATAATGCTATATATATATATATATATATATATATATATATATATATATATATATATATATATATATATATATATATATAATATGAAAGAACAATGAGATTTATAATTCAGAGTTTTATTTTGAAAAAACAGTGCTCAATACAACAACAGATAATAATATTATAATTGTTTTTTTTTGAAAATATATTATCATCGCAACACCAAAATTTCCATGTTTCAAAACTGAAAGTCCAATTCAAATTCAATTATAAAAATTAAGTTTAAATTACAAAGTTCCGTTCTATTATCAAGCGATACAAAGAATAACTTTTAAAATTCATTTGCTTAATTTATAAGTCCAGACAAATTTGATATTTTGAGATGTTGGGGGTTAAAGAAAATTTAATCTTTTTTTTTTTTATTTTAGGGGTGTTAAGATAATAGAACTGAATTTTTTATTTTAAGTTTAATTTTTATGGTTGAATTTGAATTGAAGTTTCAATTTTAAACTTGGGGATTTCGGTGTTGCGATGATAATAAATTGAAAAAAAATTAACAAATATAAATATATATATTAAGAAATGGACAAGGTCCGACAATTTATTTATTAAAGACATTTTTATGTTTAACGTTGTTATTTATAGATACGAGTATTTAAGCAAATGCTCTGTTTATGATAAACAGTATTAAATAACATTTACCGGCCTGAATGTCCGAGAAATTTTCAGAGAAAATATTCGTTCTTTGACAGGATTCGAACCTGCATCCTATACGGAACCGTCATTTACGCTGACGTGCCTTAACCGTCTCGGCCATAAAGAACCTTTAATAAATAAATTGTCGGACCTTGTTCATTTCTTAATATATGACGTCATTTGTTTACATTTGATACGCCAGAGCAGTTATGAATGTACGAGATTCATGGAAGATTGAAGTTTATAAGCAGTAAATTCGACCTTGTCTACCGAAATTGTGGCCGAGACGGTTAAGGCACGTCAGCGTAAATGACAGTTCCGTATAGGAAGCACGTTCGAATCCTGTCAAAGAACGAATATTTTCTATGAAAATTTCTCGGACATTCAGGCCGGTAAATGTTATTTAATACTGTTTATCATAAACAGAGCATTTGCTTAAATACTTGTATCTATAAATAACAACGTTAAACATAAAAATGTCTTTAATAAATATATATATATATATATATATAATTATTTATTTAAAAATATGATTCCAACATATATATAT